GCGCGCTCAGCAGCGACTGCAGCAGCAGCAGCAGCCGCAGCAGCAGCAGCAGCCGCAGCAGCAGCAGCGGCAGCAGCCGCAGCCGCAGCCACAGCGGCCGCCGTCGCAGCAGCCACTCCTCCCAGTTCCTGTCCCTCCCCCTAGTCTCCTCCCTGCGTCTCACCAGGTGGTTCCGTCCCCTCAGGTTGTCGCGTCCAGTCCAGTCGCTGCGTCTTGCTCCTGTCGGTCGCTTGCCCACCCCACCGTTCTGTGGCACCACCGGATGGGACACCCTTCTCTTCCACGTCTGCGTGCTATGTCTAGTCAGCGTCTTGTCTTAGGTCTCCCGCGTGTCTTGCCGTCGCTGCCGCCGTCCCTTGCACCACCGTGCGGTCCTTGCGTCGAGGGTAGGCTGCGTGCCACCCCTCACTCCTCCTCCCTTCGTCCGGCCACCGAGCCTTTTGAGACGCTGCACTTGGACGTCTGGGGCCCCTCTCCTCGCCCTGGCCCTGAGCGTGAGCGTTTCTTTTTGGTGGTCGTTGACGACTACTCCCGCTACACCACAGTGTTCCCCCTGGCGAGGAAGTCTGAGGTGACTTCTACGCTGATCAGGTGGTTGCTTACCACCCAGGACACTCGTGGTCGTCGTGTCAGCTGTCTCCACTCCGACCGCGGGGGCGAGTTTCGCTCCGGCATTCTCGCTGGATTCTGTCGCGAACAGGGCATTCGTCAGTCCTGGACGCTTCCGGAGTCCCCACAGCAGAATGGGGTTGCTGAGCGTCGCATAGGCCTGGTCATGGAGATTGCCCGCACCTCCTTGACTCACGCCCGTGCCCCCCATTTCCTGTGGCCATACGCAGTCAGGTACGCCGCGCACCAGCTGAACCTCTGGCCACGCGTCTCTCGGCCGGAGGCTTCACCGACCAGTCTTTGGACAGGGTCCCCTGGTGTCGCGTCGAGGTTTCGTGTCTGGGGGTGCTTGGCTCTTGTCCGCGACACCTCCGCGGACAAGCTCTCGCCTCGCGCCGTTCCTTGTGTCTTCCTTGGTTTCCCTGAGGACTCCTCTGACTTCACCTTTTACCACCCACCCTCTCACCGGTTCTTTGACTCCCGTGACGTCCGTTTCGAGGAGTCCACCCCCTACTACGTCAGGTACCCCAGTCGAGGTCTCCCGGTCCCTCCCCCCCCTCTCTTCCTGACAGCCGCTCCCCCGCCTGCTCCCCCGGTACAGCCTCCCCCCCCTGGTCCAGCCCCGTCTGGTGTGTCTCAGGCTAGCCCTCCCCCTTCGGTAGCCCCCCCTGTACAGCCTCCCTCCCCACAGTCTTCCTCGCCGCCTCCTGCAGGTGCTCCCTCTCGAGAGGTTGGTCCTGCGACTGTCCCTGTACAGGTCTCTGGTTCTGGGGGTGCTGGAGTTGGAGCTGAGCCGCGGGTTGCAGAGGACTCTTGTCTTCCGGGGGCTGGTACTGGTCGTGCGGAGTCTGGGGGTGCTGGTGCGGAGTCTGGGGGTGCTGCGTCTGGGGGTGAGGGTGTCCCTTCGGTTTCTGGAGAGCCTGGGTCTGGAGCTGGTGTTGGTGCTGCCTCTGGGGGTGGTGTGCTTGGTGCTTCGGAGGTCGACTCTGGGGCTGCCGCTGCCCCGGACACTACTCCTTCCCCCCACCCCTACCCGACCAGGTTCCAGGCTCGTGTTCGCCGTGCTCGTGAGGAGCAGTTGGAGTTGGAGAGAGAGGAGAGAGAGTTGCAGCGGCTCGAGGAGCAGGAGCGACAGCAGCAGGAGCAGCAGCAGGAGCAGCAGCAGAGGCAGCAGCCGCTGGAGCAGCAGCAGCCGCAGCAGCAGCAGCAGCAGCTGCTGCCGTCTCCTCCTCCTGTCTCGGGTCTTCGGACCCTTGGTCTCCCGTCTCCCTCTCCTTCCTCCTCCCCCTCTCCTCCCGTCTCTGGTCCTCCGCTTCCTCCTCCTGACCCCTCTCCCGCTGTTTTCCCTCGTTCTCAGTCTTCGTTGTCTCCTCCTCCTTCTCAGACTTGGGCCTCTCGTCGCTCCCCTCGTGCTCGTCCCTCGTCTCCTGTTCCCTTCACTGACCTTCGTACAGCCTTCCTTTGTTCTCGTCCACCTCGTCCGTCTCCGTCTGTGCTTCCGTCTCCTCCTGAGTCGGCCCTCACTGTGTCGCTTCCTTCTCCTGTCACTGACTACTACCGCACGTACCGTCCTGTTCTCTCTCGTGTTCTCGCCTCTCTTGTTACCCACCCTCGTGCCTCTGTGTCCTCTGTGTCCGCTCTTACTGCCGCAGTCACTGAGTTTGCCTCTACCCGCCGCCTTGACTTCGCCACCGCTCTTGTGGCTGCTCCTCCTTCCAGTCCTCTGGCCGTCGGGGGTGTGTCTGCCCTTGGCAGTGACGCCCTAGAGGACAGGCAGTTTGAGCTAGAGTTCCTGGCCGCCGCTTCCCCTCATCTCTGTGCCATGCTCCTCGCCCCTGAGGGTGACCCCGACGCCCTTGACATTCCGACTCCTCGCACTTACGCTGAGGCAGTGTCAGGGCCTTGGGCCTCTCAGTGGAGGGCTGTCATGGACGCAGAGATGGCCTCCTATAGATCCACAGGCACCTACGTCGATGAGGTTCCCCCTCCGGGGGCGAACGTAGTTGACGGCATGTGGATCTACAGGGTGAAGCGGCCACCGGGATCTCCTCCGGTCTTCAAGGCGCGCTACGTGGCTAGAGGTTTCAGTCAGCGCGAGGGAGTTGACTTCTTTCAGACCTTCGCGCCCACCCCGAAGATGACCACTCTTCGGGTGTTACTACACGTAGCAGCACAGAGAGACTACGAGTTACACTCTCTCGACTTCTCTACTGCTTTCCTTCAGGGCAGTCTTCACGAGGAGGTCTGGTTGCGTCGTCCCTCTGCCTTCACTGGCTCTTTCCCTCCTGGGACCCAGTGGAGGCGACCGGTTTACGGTCTTCGTCAGGCTCCTCGTGAGTGGCACGACACCCTGCGTTCTACCCTGTCTGACCTTGGGTTCCAGCCGTCTTCTGCTGACCCGTCGCTGTTCGTTCGTCGTGGCCCCACACCTTTCTTTGTTCTGGTCTACGTTGACGACCTTGTTTTCGCCACCCCTGACAGGGTTGCTTTGGCACACGTGAAGTCCGAACTGCAGAAGAGACACACCTGCACTGATCTTGGTGAGCTGCGCCACTACCTTGGCCTGCAGATCACCAGGGACAGAGCTGCTCGCACCATTACACTTTCACAGTCGCACATGGTGCAGCAGGTCCTTCAGCGGTTCGGGCTTCAGCACTCCACAGTACAGCGCACACCTCTTGCTGTTGACCACAGACTCACTGGACCCTTTCCTGACGAGCCGTTCGAGCCTAGTGGTCCCTACGCAGAGCTGGTGGGTTGCCTCATGTACCTGATGACTTGTACTCGCCCGGACCTCGCCTTCCCTCTCAGCGTTCTTGCGCGCTTTGTTGCGCCAGGGAGACACCGTCCTGTTCACTGGACAGCAGCTGTGAGGGTGGCGAAGTACCTAGCGTCGACGTCAGGCGTGGGGCTAGTTCTTGGAGGGCAGCAGTCTGTCGTACTTACTGGTCACTGTGACTCCTCTTACGCTGACGACGCTGAGACTCACAGGTCTACTCAGGGGTACTGTTTCAGCCTGGGTTCTGGAGCTGTTTCCTGGCGGTCCACGCGCTCCTCTTCGGTCTCGACCTCTACAGCTGAGGCTGAGATCTACGCTGGTGCCATGGCGGCACAGGAGCTGCGTTGGTTGACCTTCTTGCTCACCGACCTTGGTGAGCGGCCGAGCTCTGCACCGACCTTGTTCACTGACAACAAGGCGTCTATTCTCCTTTGTCGAGAGCCACGACTGGAGAGCAGAGTGAAGCACATTCACGTCAGGTACTTTCTTCTACGAGAGTTGCAGAGGCGTGGACAGGCTCGCTTTGAGTTTGTGGAGTCCGAGGCCAACACTGCAGACATCTTCACCAAGGCGCTTCCGCCTTGTGACCACCAGAGGTGCTGTGTGCAGTTAGGCCTTGTTGACACTGGTTCTCGTGTTGCTTAGACTTGAGTGTACTGTTTACTTTGCTTTCTATATACCTCTGTTACTTCTTGGACTGGCCTTGTGGCCACTGTTGTTTGTGCTCAGACTGTGTAGTGACGTTGTGATCCACCCTGAGCTTCGTTTCTTGGACTGGTCTTGTGACCGTACTCGTTTGGTTCTGCTAGACACCCCTCACTGTGGTAGCCTATAGTGAGGTTTGTCTTAGGGGGTACAAAACTTAGGGTTAGCCATATGTACCCCAACCAACATCAATGCATCATCCATTCTTCATTTTGACACTTTCTAACAGCAGGGCAGTGCTCGGCTAGCAGGGCGGCGCGACGAGCAGGGCAGGGTGGCGCGACATCCAGCAGGGCGGCGCGCGGGCAGGGCAGGGCAGCGCGACTGGTGGGGCAGCGCGACGGGCAGGGTAGGGCGCTACGGACAGGGTAACGTGCTACGGGCAGGGAACTACGGTAGTCGGTAAGCATAAGAATGTTCTGACACCCTCTACACCACAACCCAACCTACCGTAATGTGTATGACATTTTGCAGTTCCCCTCCAAGACCCTCATTCTCTGTGCTCAGGTTTTTGGTACACATCAGAAGGGCTAGAGAGCTTGTGTGGGCCTCTTTTCTCTACCACTTCCTTTGTTGGATCGCATTTTCTTTCTGTTGTAAACTTTCTGGTGTCAAAGAGAACCTTTATTGGATACTAAAAAGTGCGCCAAAGTATATTGGTTGGTTGGTGCGCAAAAAAACTGGCGAGAATACGGAAGGAAGCATACCGTAGCTGTCAGTGTCAATGAGAGGAAGATGGAAAACCCAAGGCGAAACCTCACCAGAGCAGGGTGGGGTTTCCCCCCCTCCTTTACCTTTTACCTCATCAGAGCAACCTCCGTTAACACTGAGCACACCCCCTTCCTCCCACATCTGATGGCACAGCAGCCAGGAGGAGAAACCGCAGGAACGGACCACAAAAAAATGACTATCTGCCTGACCACGAAAAATAACCAAACCAACCAAGGTCTCGTTGCTACCACACCATCAGTGATGATCCCGAACCTGAACCCGAACCAGCAGATCCTGAACTCATACTCTCTCTCCTCTCCAGGTGCGTAGATGGCGATGTCGACCCCTGCTGACCCACCACAGCCCCGCCAATCGCCCGGGACACCGTCCCCACCGCTGGGCTTCCCGTGTTTGAGGCCGCGTGCATCGTCTTCAGCCCTGATCCGCCCAGTGGTCTCTGGAACGGGTTTGTTATGCCCAACATGTCCCCGCTGCCTCCGCCTGCGTGCGCGCCTGCAACGCCCCCCAAGATGGGGCTCATTGTCGAGGGGTACTCGCCCATGGACCGACGACGCGACGGCGCGATGGCCGCCGGCGACGGGACGGCGGAGCCCGGGGAGCCGCGGAAGCTGCGGAACGCGGGGCTGTTGGCGGGGGAGCCGGAAAGGTCCTCCGTTCCGAACCTGGTCACGCGAGAGTCCAAGCTCCGGCGAGCTTTATCGACGGCGGGGTCGGGCCCGGATGTGTCGTTTAGGGTCTGCGTGGCGGGAGACGGAAACGGGCCAGGTTAGGAAGGACGGACAGAAGGACCAAGACAATCAACGAGCAGTATACATAAATCAATGGAACTACATCGGGCTTCTCAGACATGCGAATCGCGAAAGTCGAACGACGTATGCGCGACGCGTAGGACACAGACACCCAGAAAAGGGAAGAAGAAAAAAACACTCAAACAAACAAACACGAGAGCGTTAGCGTAATGTTTAGCTACACTTGGTAAAACGAGCAAGAACTAGGACCCACCAAGTACGAGAGCAGGTCGTCATCTACCCCCTCAAATTCACTCCCTGATTCCTCCGCCGTAGCTTCGGCTGCAGCCGGCGTCGCGGCGCCCGCACCCGCACCCGCCGACTTCGCTGTGGTGATTTGCGGTGCTGAATCTTCACCCTGTATCTCGATTAAATAGTACGTCCCGCCTGGTTCCAATCGTGTGTCTGAAGCTAGTGGCGTCGGTTGGTCCGCATCCGATGTGACGTAATAGTTGGGGTACTCGGTTTTTAGATCGCCCGCTTGCATCTTGCCAGTGTAAAGCTTCATAGAACCATCGGGGAGTAGCACAAGCGTTGCTTGTGACTTCCGATGGAACATACTGCTTAAACTGACCATCGTTGTGTTTTGTGCTCGCAAATGGGCAAAATTAACGAACGCAGATTGCCGGGGAGGTCCAAGTCAAGCAAGTTATGCGCTGGAAATTGATCGCTCAAAATATAGGACGCTGAGAAGACTTTCCTTGCCGGAAATTAATATGAATCAGTCAGTACGGATGCTAAGTGCCAATCAGCGTGATGGCGCCAAACAGACAGCTGGAAAAGTGTCACAGTCCGAAACACGACCAAGCATCGCCGCCAGCCCGTTTCCTATCTCAGAAGCAAATTTCAAGAACTGACAATAGCGAACGTGGAATGGCAGTTGTGCAATCGAGGAATGAAGGCAAAAGAGAGGTTGGTGGTGAGTAATGTGAGCTGTGTTTCTCCGAACCAGCTTCAGCTGAAGGTGATGGTGGGGGCATGCGTGGCTGACGGTGGTGGAAGTGCAGATGGCTCAGACGGAGGCGCAATTTCCTACAGTGCCTCGATTTGCAGCCTTCCTTCCTACAAGAAGGAATCCAACATACAGAAGGTGGGCTCCAACAACAAATCGACGGCCCTGGTTCCTCTCAACTTGAGAACAGGGGACTGGGTGGGAGCAGTCCACGAATCTAAGAATGGTTCAACTGCTTACCCTAAAGTTCCGGGTAATATGAGAAAGAACCATCCTCCGATCCCGTACATTTACGACCTGCCCAAGACGCTGTGCACTTCAGCCATGCCAGACCACCCAGTCCTGGAATTGTATTTATTGGCCAAATTTGATATGAGAGGTCGTGCCCATGACCCGGCGTGCGATCAGCCGATCATACCCCGGCGGCCTCCAAACCAGCAGGCTGTTCGCCTCCCCGTATTTCGGAACAAGCCGTGGGCAACGGGTTATGGATCGTATGGAGTTGTGAGGTTGAAAGCATGTACAAAGCCTCCACCAGGCCAAAAAAAAAAAATAGTTCTCTAGCAACTGATAAGAGTAAAGCGAAATGTAGCAGCTTGTCCTCAGATGGTCTGGGATGTGTAAAGACTGACCCGCAATTAGGGTACTGTTTATGCGTGTCGTTCGGGGTGGATACAAATGGAAACAAAAAATCTGATGAGTCCACCTGGCTGAAGTTGCTCCTTCGCATTCCTCCCTGCCCTGAACCACAAACAGAAGGACAAGTGTAGAAAGTCTTTCAAAATCCTCAGCACGTGCCAGCTCAGTCATGCAAACGTGAGCATCAGTGTCCCCTATCTGTTAATTTTCACGAACGTGATTTGACAAGAGCACTAGTTTCGCTGGCACGAACGATTAGGGCCGCACAAACATGAGCTAGACACGTTGCATATCAGGACCTCATTTCCAGTAACATTCATGCTGTAATGCTCCTGATATATGTGGCTGACGTTCACGCGGCTTAAAGAAATTGGGCGGCTGCCGAACTCTGCAGGGGCGAGTTGAGATCAGAAATGAAACCTTTCTGGCGCTGATCCACCACAAGCACCAACTCGGTCCCTCCCACCACACCAGTGTTGGTGTAGTGAGTGCAAACTCTTGGACCAGCATACTGTACTTTCGCCATTCTTCATAAAACATTCCAGGCCGTTGGAACTCGGAAGCAGAACGTTCCTTCCAAAAAACTGCGCATAAAAATCTCAGGAGATTTTCTTCGCCTTGTCTCGACTCGACTCCTCTCCTCCCATCTCCCAAAGCATTCCGTTTACACTTACTAGTTATACACTACTTTCTTTTCAGGATGGGTACGATGGCAGGCTGCTGTCTAGGCCCATCAGCTACAGTTAAGACTTTTAATGCTTGTATGCTCCGTTATCCTTATTTCATGTACTTCACATACGATATCAGTATTAAGTCCCAGAAACTGGCTTCACGCTTTTGAAAGAGGAAAAGGGAAAGAGGGAGAAGGAAAAGGGAAAGAAAGACACCAGAAACAACTCAAACGCAACACCCATAAAAAGCCCCATAAAAATACTCCATAAAGAAAAAACCCAACCAGGATCCCCTACCAGACGTCCCATCTCGCACCCCATTCCCCCTCGCCCCCCCCCCCCCCCCTCCCCCCCAAGTCACATCTGCACATCCACCATGTAGGGGGCCTCCACCCAAAGAGGCCCGCCCTCCACCTCGACATCGTCCCTCTCCCGATCCACCAAGTCCACATTCAACCCCCCCATGGAAGACGCCGCCCGAAGCAGGATGACACGAGCTTGCGCCCGTTGTAACGCCACTCCGATGAGCGCCTTCAGAGACCCCAAAAGGTAAGCCGAGAACGAAGTGTCATCCTCCCGACAAGCCCCCCGTGACACAGCTAGCCCCACGTGCGCGTCCCCCTGCTGTCGAAGCCACCGCCGGAAGCGACCGCCGAGACACCCCCACGTCTCCACTATCAAAGGGGTGAACTGCACGCCTCGGTTCCGTGCAAGAAGAGGCGCGTAATCCCCCGTTTTGCGACGCTCCCACTCCTTTGCCGCCACGCCTATAGACCGCCCGCACTGCCCTAGCAGAGATGGAGACAGTGATAGCGGGTCCGCGACACTAATCTCTAAAGCATGAGCCTCCCCAGCCATTGGTCGTCGCACCGCTACGTCAACCCGCTTCCCCGGCAGCACCGCACTATCCTCCATCGTCACCACCCCCCCTGACGCCTTAGCGATCTTTGCCACCGCAAACTTCACCTCATCATGCACCCGAGATGGACCGTGTTGGTGCTTGCATCTCAGCGCATGATGCGGGTCTGCTGGGTCATCATACGCTGTGCCACAAACACACTTCCCCGCCACTTGCAGCTGCTGGATTGGGAGACCAAGCCGTATAGCAGCAGCAATGCCCCACTCCGCTGCAGTGAATGTGAGATCTGAATGAGCCGGAACTGCCGAAACCCATGCACCAGCCCCCGGGCCCTGAAGGGATGTGAAACGGGCCAGGGTGGCATCGTCACGAGCCAAGCGGCGGAGTGCCTGGAGCTCCTCAACAGCCAACTGCCGCTGCCGCGCCTGGAAAAGCCGAAGAGGAGGGGCCGCCACACACAGGGGTAAGTCCGGCAGCTCCTGGCGTATAGTCGCGGGCAACTGCTCAATGGCCTTGGCAAACCACGGGTCAAGAAGCTCCGCCCCCGCCGAAGTGGTGAGGTACTCTGCGAACATCGCCTCCTCGCCCGCCACCCCCAAATGTGCAATATCCCGTGCGGCCTGCGCCCACCCACAAACATAGGAGAGCGGACTCAAAGAGGCCGCCGCCCGGATCCCAAACCCTCCGAGGCGCACAGGGAGATGCAGCTGCATGCGTGCGCGCCTAGACCTGCCGGGATCCTGCTCCCAAGTGCCAGGGGGGAAAAGCTGCTCAAAGCAATCCTCCAGACAGCTGTCCCACTCTCTAAAGGCCTCCACCACCTCCGGCCGCGGCGGCATAGTCCGGGCCAGGTACATCGGCCGTGCTGAAACTGCAATAGCGAGGAGATGCGAGGCCATCTGGGGGTGGTCGAGCAGGGGGAGCCACGGCAATGGCGCCTGCAACTCGCGAAGCCGCTTCCGTAATCGGGCCCCCTCCCAATCCTCCTCCCCAATAGGCACGCCCACCACAGTAAGACCCTCCTCCTCCCGCTGCATCCCCAAAGGCAATGCCCGCTCCATATCCCCACCTCCACGCTCCCAAAACCTGCACTTGTGCGCCTGCACTTCCAGCCCCACCCACTCCAACCTCTCTCGCAGCACCCCAAAAGCCTCCAGAATCCTAGCCGCTGGTCCCAGGATGTAGGTATCGTCTGCATAGCTCAAGAAAAGTAGGTCCCTGAACTCTCTAGTCACCGTCCCCAGCACCTGCTGCTGCGTGAAAGCGAAAAGAAAAGGGCCGAGCGGGTCCCCCTGTCGCGATCCTCGTGCCGACTCAAGACTCTGTACGAAAGGGCCCGCTCGGAGGTACAGGTCGCTAGGTGTCCCATAGAAGACACGCAAGAATGGGATCATTCCTGAGAAAGGCGACTCCTTCAGCCCCTCGAACATCGCGTGGCGATGAAACGAATTGAAGGCGTTCGCGACATCTATCTGCAGCGCACACCAGTCGGGGTGAGTGGCCAGCGCTGACCGGAAAGAATGAGTAAGAATCTCCACCCCGGCCCTGGTGCCCACTCCCAGCTGGTTACACGGCAGAAAATAAGAAGCCATCACAGGGCGAAGCGAGATGCAGAGAGCTCGAGCGAGGATACGCGGAAGCACCTCCCCGATCGCCACCGGCCGGACGTCACCGTTGGGTTTGGAAAGCCCGACTAGGTTGGATGCGGCGAGCCAGGGCCGAGCTCGCTCGGGGACCTGTCCCGCCACCCATTGGTTGAACACTTCCAGCAGGTGGGAGAGGCAGGAAGGTTCCGTGAGGAAAGTGTCGCGCAGATGCTCTGTGACCCATCCCGATGGCCCTGCAGCTGAGGCGCGAGCAGCTGTGTGGATAGCTCTAGCCAGAATGTCGGTCGTGAGTGGAGGCCGCTGAGGAGCGTCGACAGTAAACTCACGAACCCACGGTGGTACCTCGCCACTGCTAGCTGGGTGCTTCCCTCGCAGCGACTGCACCATAGCCTCAGTTGGTCGAGCCAACTCTCCTGCTGTGAGGCAAGACAAACCACGGCTCCACTCTCCCACTTTACACCGAGATCGGCACCGTGACAGGCGGATGGCCTCCGGGTCCTGGTCAGAGCACGTGTAGGCAAGTGGGCGAACTGCTGGCCGTGCCGCCGCCATGGCAGCGTCGAACAACTCCCGCCACCTCCCCTCCCAGAAGGCCCCCAGCCGCTCTATGATCAGCGCCTTCTGACCTATGCCTGGCTTGGGAGGCACGGCTAGGATGAGGCGCGGAAACGCCAGGAGTAGGAGGGTAGCAGCTTCATCTCCCGGTCGGCTCTTCAGCCGCTTCAAGATGCAACAGAGTGCGTCTAAGACCCCGGACCG